GTCTTCACATCGATTTACAACAGTCTACAGGGTGTCACAAAAATGTCTCGCAATCCGGAAATGGCAGGTTCCTCGGATCATTTGAAGCAACTTCTTCCTTTACAAAAATGTTCTCCGAGGCACCGTTAACGAGTTATTAACGAAAAACAGTGACCAATAAGAATCGAGTACGGCTGACGCGAGGAGGCCCAGCCAACCAGCGCACGAAGCCCAGTTCCGCTCATTGGCTCGATCGCCTCGCGCCAGCTAAGCTCGCCTCTCATTGGTCACTGTTTTTCGTTAATAACTCGTTAACGGTGCCTCGGAGAAAATTTTTGTAAAGGAAAAAGTTGCTTCAAATGGCCTGAGGAACTCGCCACTTTCGGATTGCGAGACATTTTTGGGACACCCTGTATATACAGAATATAGAGTATCAGATTCTGTACAGTACACATCAGACTCTGCCGTCCAGAGAAATAGCCTCGCGCAGAATTCAGCCGTACCTAAAAGGTTAAAAGAAGACATACATTTTTGTTTAACTTCTCTGATTAACTGAAATAATTTTTACTTTACATAAAGAATCGCAGTCCAGTAATAATTAATCTTCCTCGCTTCTCTTAGTATGAATTTCGATTTTCTACAAATTCTTGAGCGAAATGATAGCGACATTGTTCATTCTTTAAAAATTGTTGACTCGCTTTAGCAGCAAATGAAAAAAATGTACGAACAAATCCTTCGAATTGACGAAATGTTACGTTAACAGCCGCGTTTTAAAGGCAAGATCATCGATTGCCGTTTTGGTCTCGGTCGCGCTGATAATTTGCATATAATTTGTGCCCGCGCACACCTTTTGGCGTGTATGACGAAACGGGTCCCGTGGCACCGATTATATTTTCTTCTCTCTCAACTCGACGCGTGTGCGCTTCCCAAACGATTACGCCATTACATATCGACCAAGTGTCCCGACCGATATGAGAACGAGCATCGTCGAGAGCTTACAGTTGCTCAAGACTCGAGAATATTACGTACGCGCATTCTCGCCGGTCCCTATTAAATGTATTCTAAGAACGTCACCGTTGGCAATAATTTCGTTTTCGGAGCTCTTTCGTCTCCCGGTTGCGCGAAAGAATTCCAACGATTATTAACGATCCGTAGATCTTTGTGCGAAACAAAATCATTCAGGCAGAGTTCATAAAGACAACGTTGAAGCACGTTTTAATTCGATTTTCCGTCGCACGTCCGGCTTCTCAAATATATTGAGAAACGTCCAGAAAGTTGCGACATGTACACTAAATGCTCCCTAATTGACGCTCGCAAAAATGGACAATTTGTGCGATACAATTATTATGAAATACAATTATTCGCAAATTGTCCAATCTGAGCGTCAATTAGGGAGAATTTACTGTATGTCCTCCTGTTTAAACTGTATCGTGCGAGCCAGTACGCGGATAATTCGTTATTCTATTCGAAACGACTGTTCATTATTCGACAGTTCCGATAGTTAGAATCCAGCAATTCGTGCGACGCGTAAGATTAGATTGTAAGTTTGCTAAGTACGAAACGTTGGTTCGCAGAAAGCTGTTCAATAAAGAATGAGTTATGAGCAATGCTGCCGGAGGAATGATTCCACGATAACGGTTGATCCATCGTTGGAATGATTGCGGAGGAAGCTAGTCTTGAAGCTTGAGCAACAAGATAGTACTGTCCGCTGCGTATCGATCGGGTATCGTAACCGGTGTGAGAAGGAGCATCGTGGAAAGCTTGAAGTTGCCCAAGACCCGGGAATATTACGTACACGCGTTCTGCGACTTCCGCGTTGCAGGTTGATCAACCGGCAGCCAGCACTCTCCTTTCTTTCACCAATCCTTTCGTTGCGCCCTGTTCCACGATACACGACCGTGCCTCGCCGGCATGACTCAATCGCGGTGTCCTCTTGCCACATTAAAATGCCTCCGCTAAAATGTTGCACAGCCTCCCTTTTCAACGCGATCGAAGAGATAGCACCCTCTCGCAACGCTTCGTTTTATCCCCTCGCTCTGCGATTGCTATTGCAGTCACAGAACTTTCTCGTCGTCCGTAATTCTCTAAAATAAAACGGAACCTGCGCCCGATTGTATGCACGCCGATGACCTAAATCGTGCCGATGACAGAAACGTAGAGACTCGATATTATAAACGGTTCGAAGAGCATCTAAATTTTGTTGACGCGAATAGCGGGATAACGGCAGACAATTTAAACGCGGTTATGAAAACAATAAAAAAAACGTTATCGGATACGTTTACACTTCGATAGACATTTTTGAAAATATCTCAAGAACCAATAATACTTTCGCCATGATACCCCAATAATTTTTTACGTAGAATGAACACAGAGGAATCGATCTGTACAACGAAAGATATGCATTTCCATTTAAAGTAATGATACAATTGTTAATAGCACACGCACCGATGTACTTAAAAAAAAATCTAAGGTCCTATAGATGTAGTGCTCCTCGAGTCATTTATCTTCCTTCTTTAGTATTTTTTCGTAAATGCATTCATAACGGAGTTATGACCTGAAACAATTGCGTTGACCACCCTGTATACTGTACAGATCAAATGCTTCCCTAGGGGTGGGATGCAGAGTCTCGGTAGGAAGAGTGGGAGAAGCGAGCAGGCACATGTAGGCAGACGCGGAAGGGTAAGACGGGGTTCCAAGAGATTTGGAAACGTTTGGGCCCGTTTATTTTCTCAGAGTGGGCGGTGACCTTTGAGATTTCGAAAAATACGTGACGTTGTCGGCGCATTCACATTAGGATCCATTTATATACTAAATGGATCCTAACTCAATAGATTAGTGAATTTGAAGAATCGTCATGACAATTCACTATTACAGCTTTTAATTTTAGTGTATAGGGAACTGAGTCCTTTACTGTTTCTTATCTAATTATATATATATATAGTTGCTGATTTATACTATTTTACTACTAAGATAAGGACTCCTAAGTTCATCTTGTTTAACTCGGTACTTTTTGCTTTCAGAACACGACTTCGACTTGAGAGTCTCGAGGATGCAGTGATCGTCGAAGACGATGATGACAAGTTGACCGATCGTAGGGGTTGCCCGGCATACGTCGCGCCGGAAGTCCTGCGATCGGGTCGCGCATATTCTGGCAAAGCCGCCGATATCTGGTCCCTCGGCGTGCTGCTGTACACAATGCTGGTGGGTCGTTATCCGTTCAACGACGCCGAGCACGCATCCTTGTTCGCGAAGATCTCGCGTGGCCAATTCGCGGTCCCCGAGTGTCTCAGCCCGCGCGCACGATGTTTGATCCGCTCGTTGCTGAGAAAGGAGCCATCCGAAAGGCCGTACGCCGAGGACGTGCCTAGACATCCGTGGTTGTCGAAACCGTTGCGTGTCTGCACAACGACCAGCAGATCCTCATGTCAGGATCAAGTCGTACCAGAGCTACCTAACAATCACCAAGACTGATTCCTCCGGGAGACGGACGAAGATTCCGCGCACGCTGCAACAAGCTTATGGTCTTAATCCTCTATTTGGACGAGGGACATCAGAAATGCTAAGACATAACTACCGGAGATCATCGTAAATTCTGTTCGCCTGCAGGACGTTTTTGTCGTAATACGTGGTACAGCTGGAAACTAACTACTGAATTTGTTGTTAGCGTTTGGGACGCGCCATCTTGATAGCACTGAAATTTGTTAACTTCTGCATTTTTATCGTTCAGCATACTATTTTATTTTGTCATGCTATCTAAAACACCTACATAGGTGAAAAACATGTGGACTACTTTGTTGAGTGGATGATGTAACAGTAAAAACTAAGTTACTTTCTTAAAGGTTGATATTGTAATTGAAGTGCTGCGCACTTTTTGAAAATTCGAGAAATTGTGGAAATGAGCAAGTGTTAAATTTCCATTTTACCTTATCACATTAAAAACTCAACTTTAAAAATTTGTTAGAACTAAATGGTTCAGAATATCAATTGCGCTATATATTAGATATTCTCATTGAGGATATCCCTGAAAATTTTAGATCAATTAAACTATTCGTTATCTAATTAATGTATATATATTTAATAATGTAAATTGATCTAACTTTTTTCAAACCTTCAAGATATGTGGTGCTCAAAAAAATTGATTTTTTAAAATCGCAAGATGGTGTGTTTCCTGAAAATTATTGTTAGCATTGATCGATTTCCTTAGTTTGTATTCATAATATTTCATCTAAGGTTCAGAATAATTGGGCTGCATGTTAACCCGTGAAAAGCGGACGCTTTTTACATCTATACAATCAGGTCTGATAAGATCCATTTAAAATCTAAATCTTTATCAAACATATTTTTGAAGGTAGTCTTGATCTTCTCACTTAACTAGATAGCTAGCAGTTTAAATTATTTGTTCAGAGCTTAGCGAGTAGATGATAATTTTAAAGCACACATTAAATGGACCCTAATTCTGCCACTCAAGCGGTAATTTTAACATAAGCTTAACAAGTTTTTTAAAAGATGAAACCTTATAGAAAAATTTTCCAGCAAATATATATATACATATATTTCTTAAGGCGAAACCGTTAATTACAAAAATGTCCTGTATTGGCCTCTAGAACATGATGTTCCTTTGTATGTTTGTATGCTAGAAACTCTTCTATGCTTCACCGATCGAATGGTTACCAAATAAAGGGTTAAATATTAGCTGTCGCATCGAGGGATTGTCTGATTCCGAATCTTTATTTTGTTTCGTCAACACGACAATAGAAGACAGCCTAGGATAAAAGCAGATTTTGTTGGAAAACGTTAGGGAAGGTCTAAGGGGAGATGATCGTTGTTCCAATTCTTTGTAAGCAAAGACCTGCGAGTAAGTTTGTTGCTGTTAACAATATCAAATTGTATAATTCATAAAAAAAACACGATTCATGTGTTTGAAAACAATTTTCATTGTTATAGAATCGTTTTTGTTCCGCAAAAAGCTCGCATGTCTTTGTGTCTTAACTTTCATATATTGAACTCGTTGAGATGTTGAATATTGTCTTATTAGGAGAACATTTAAATGTCAATAATAACGTATATACATAAATAGATATACATACATATAACAATAAGTTAAAGAACACGATTTTGCTAACTCTTAAAAAATGATGATAGTTCCATTTCGCTTCTCAAATCGTTAATGAGTCGTAACGGTACAATTTAAGGGATGATACAGTTACTATTATTTATTACATCATGTATGAACGTTAAGCAAACTTTTACAAACTTTTCTATACCAGAATTGCAACAACTGTCAACAGGCAGTTCATTGTGTAATTAAGTTTGTATCGGTTTTTGTGTTCTGAAAATGGTGACAACTTCATGGGATCATTATGGAGTCAATAACCGGTAGAGAGAAATTCTTGTTGAACGATTACACCCTCTGATCTTCGCTGATGGTTTGATTTGAAGAAAGTACCAAGTGTTCTTGTATTTGATATCTATACAAATTATTTTCTAACTTCGCGGACATACAGTTAAGCGCAAGTTTATCGATTGCGTGTGACGAACATGTGAGTGTAAGAGACTTTTCCTTTTTTCTTTTATATTTTCTAACGCGATCCTCTGTGCGCCAGAAGCGGCCGTCCTGGCGCACAATTCCTCGTATCATTTGAGTCAGGGTACAATGGTGAGAGCGTTCACGTTGACGCTGAAATGTATATAAGTTCAGTCCACTAAGTCCTACTAAATCGTTAATTAGAAAACATTAATAAGATGTTCTGTACATAGACAAATAAAGTGGCGTTTATGATAAAATCGTTGCTGAACTGCCTACGCATTCTGAGTTCCTATTCTGACCATTTCAACGAACAGGTTGAATTGAATTACAAATGAATTGTATCATTTTAACAGTAAATTTACCATTTAAAGTGTCTGGTTGCCTTGTGTGAATGACAAGATTGAATTTATTCAGATTTTATGAAATTTTTATTACACGTGTTTGAAAATGGATTTATTCAATTATTGCTCCTGAATGCATCTTTACAATTTCAGTAATTGTGAAATCGATAATCTGGTGGTAGTTTTAAAATTGGTATGAAATATGCATTTATTACATTTTGTTCCTGCTATTATAGATTAAACCATGTATACAATAATAAATTCGACACAAATTATAGTTTTCTATTTTCACTTTTTCATCTAAATATTCTTGGCTATAGAAAAAATTATATACGTACATATTTTAGTATATATTACAAAAATAACTGTTCAATTTAGCAATTTATAGCTATAATATTTTAAAGTAAGTATT